AAGGTTGCAAGCTATTCTCTGTAATTTCCATAATAGTTCAGAAATACAATGGAGAAGCATGCATTCGGGCACAGATTGGTAAAAAGCCTTTATTGGTTTCGCCGTATTGGTATTTAAGTGATTTGATTATTCATTCCATGGCATAAAAAATATGAAGGATGTGGGTGCTTTTCGATTACCAACAAAGGGCTACAATTACTTAGCTGATGAAAAGTGAAGGCCAGGCACTTGTCGTATCTATGAGCATGTATGCATGAGGCCTTTTATAAATTTAACAAAGCGAAAACATAGTGTAGGTCAAATTTCCGCCTATCCAAACACTTCCTCGATTAAGTTAACCAACAGGAATTCTCCTAATATTATTGTTGGTCTATAGGCATCCCTTACTGACCAATACGAGTCTATGCTGGTCAATTTTATTCTTTCTGCATGCTTTTCACGTGTATTTTTATCACGCATTTATCACACATTAAACACCCATTACCTAGGCCTTGATTAACCATTAAACCTTTAACCATGATTTCCGTAAGAAACTTGGGCGGAAGCGAACTTTTGACGTTAGTCGGCCTCACAAGAAGGCCTTAGCAGCCATTTAATATCATGAGTCACGCCAATCCTTATGCATTTTCTCAAATATACATTGCAGGCAATTTTTCGATCATTCACGGAGGCGGCATTTGATGGCGAGAATCTAATCCACTGCGAGGTTTATGACCCACATTACAAACAGGGTCCCGAGCTTATCGCCTCCATCCCCATTCCTATAACTGCCAACGTTAATTTTAGCAAGTAAGTCATCGGAATAGTCTGAAAAGAGCGCTGAGCGGGTATATTGTCCTAGGCATCTGAAGTAGGTTTCTGTATTTCTTGTAGATTTTCCATCTTGCCGTCCAAAGAGATGAATTTTGGCGCAATGCTCCTGCACTCACGCAAGTCCAGGCAATTCGGCATCGAAAACTGCGGCAACTTTGACTTCAAGTTTACCATAATGCCCATGACAAAAGCACAAGAGCTGCGCGCACTACGAGAAGGAATTAAGGGGCGCCGGCGAACAAGTCGTCACAAAGTGTAATTTGCAGCCGTTTTTTAACTGTTTTCATTCTATAATATTAATGTTGACGGGGGGTGTCAACGTTCGTGGGATTTAAAGGCCTCCAATGACTGCATTAAAGTGCTGATTTTAAACGTCTCAACGTAGCTGGAATAAGTAAAAGTATACAATAAAACTGTTTAGTCGAAGTCAAGAGAGAATAACTCTGCTTACTGATAATGTACACGTCCAAAAGCACTTGAATTTGTGCCTGTTAAGTGCTTTCGAGGATGCTCTCAAAACTGAGTACAAAGCACCACCTTAATAACCCATTCGCCAGTGAACTTCTCTCGAAAGATTTGATTGTCTACACCCACGTTGAGGTTTCGAAGACCGTTCTCATATAAAATCTTCATATAAACATCGTATTCTCTCACCATAACCCAGAATGGCGTTATTTTAAAATCATCCCCATCGAATCAGGATGTTAATTTGCGTCAATTTGTGAATTAGAGGGTCGTTAAAACGGTAGGGATTATTTTATGGCCACCTAAACAGGGCCTAAGAACAGGAACTATCCGCAATACAGATGAATTTGCGCCAAATTCCCGAGCAATTAGCGGTGGTTTAAGTTTATAGTTACCTTCAGCGTTTGTTTTAACGTTGGGATTAAATTTAAGGTTAGGGTTATGTTTTTCTAGGCGGAGTTCGGTTAAGGAGGTGACGCTGATGAAGCCAGCGCTAGGGCTCATATCCCCTTGGTCTCAACAAGGAATGTGACTCTGAGTTTAACTATTTCGGATAAGTGCATGCTTGAGATCCTGAGCACAGCAGCGTTTATCTTGGTTTCAACACTCTCAACTCTATCCATTGAGTTGTGTATGTTTCTCCTAGGTGCGGTCTAAGATACTGCTGCTTTAGGTTCGTGCCTATGCTAAAGTGCTAATTTCTAGCAATCATGCTTACTAAGGCCAGTAGATAGTATACTATAAGTACTGCCTGTGTGTGCTTTTTAAGAAGTGGCACCCAGTTTGCACTCTCAGTTTGTGTGAGGTAATAGTGATTAGCATTTGGATAGTAATAACACAAGTCCTACCATGCCCTTACGTTGAGCAATTTGCTGTCAATAGATTACATTTAGGCCTACTGCAGTATTAAGGATAGGACACAGGAATATTTACCGTTCCTGGAATTATGCGTTGGGCCGCCTTTATTACTTCGATGCATCGTTTCTATTCTGTTTTCTATTTAAGGAGCCATATACGTAATCCATATCGTTAAAGGGTATTAGAATTTGACTTCGGCACTGTCTTAAGTTTATAAACGGAGTAAACCTCTTGATTATTTTAAATATGCATACACGTTATTAGTTTGCCCTAATTATAGTGCAATATACTTTCCATGGGGCGTAACCGAGCGTAACCGTTTGTATGGCCCCCGGAGGCGTGACATTGGAATAAGGACGTCTCCTGTGGACTGCGTGGTAGATGCGCTAGACTAACACGGTAGCCGGCAGGTGTTATTCGGCTTACACTCCCGCGACATATGTCGAACTTGGGGGGGGAAGGGAGGGGGAGGCGTGTTGGCACGCCCAGGGGCGGCTTAGGCCGCGCCACCCACCTACGCCCTCTCCCATCTCCGTTTTGTTGATTTCGTCTTGACACTGGGCTCAGGTGGGGGAGAGAGGGAGGTAGAGGCAGCGAACGTCTCTAATTTGCAATAATCGAACGCAAGTCACCTTTCCTGCACAATCCTGCTTGCACTGCAGCATAGAAAGGACGTACAATGCAGCTGAACTCGTCTTCCTCAGTTTTACTAAGAGTCTTCCAATAAACCGGGCAAAGGATGCCTTGCCGTTTCATGCC